TTGGTATTGATACCCCTTAACTAATATGGCTTTTTGATTAAGAAAGAATCGATACTCTAGTCTAAGTACCGATACTCCAGTGCTATGGTATCGATACTTGACTAGTATCGATACCAAATTTAGGTTCGATGTTTTGAAAATTTTCCCAGTATCGATGCCCTTATGGAGAGTATCAATACTAATTCCTTGGTATCGACACTTAATGATTGAGTATCGATACTACTTTTGTAAAATTTCCTAATTTATACCTGACTGAAGAATAATATAGATACCGTCCTTATAGTATCAATATTGTCACTACTAGGTGTCCTATTTTGGCACAAAAAATCCTACCTTTTAACCCTAAATGTCCCATTGAGGTCCCCAACTGATGTTTAAGTGTTTTATTTGATATTATGGGTCATAAATAAGTCTTGAACATACTGAAAACACTCAAATGATGCAAATTACAGTGAACATGCTTCAAGCTTATGTATCTATAAAAACTCACCTAAATGAACTACAAGGGGTATAGATGAGTTAGAAGTAAGTTACCTGGTGTTTCTAAGCTGCTAAAGGTTTCCAAAGGTCACCCCAAGGTGAGCTTCTCCTTTCCTCTTGCTTGAGAGATTTCACCAACCTCTATCATTAGACAAGAATCAAATGTAGAGGTTACTAGCTGAGTTTATTGGTTCAAAAGGTAATAAGAACACTTCCTAAGCCTATAGATTACTGAAAATAGGTTAATCTTGAAAACTCTTAATCCCTATAAACTTGTTTTTAGAATCCATCTCCAATCCTTGAAAGAGTGGGATTAAAATAAAGCTTGGAAAGAGTAGAATATGGTTTTACATTTTTTTAAAGAATAAATCTGGAAATAAACAAATCTTCCACCTTGCTCAACCTTTTTAAGAAGAAAGATAAAGAACATGGGAAGAGAATATGACAAAAAAGAGTTGGGGAAACGAGGAAGGGAAAAAAGCGTGATATCATATTCAATTAAAGGTTTCAGCTTTAATTTTCAACAAGTCTCTAATTACTCCCTTGGTCCATCTGATTCTGATTTTAAACTAAAAATATCATTTTTACTATTTATTAGGTTTAACTCAAGCCCAAATATACCTCAAATTAGGTCAAATCTTCTTACAAGCTAGAGAATTAATCCAAGGCCTATCTCAGGTTAGTCCAAAACTTCTAACCCGGGATCCGGAGCGTTACATTTTTTTTTTTTGAAAACCTCTCTTGCAACTTTTTTTGGGCAGTAAAAAAATGAAAAGACACGTGGACTCAAATAGTGATTTCTAAGCAAAAGGAAGACTAGTTTGGATCCAAGAGGAAATAAATCTTTTCAAGATAAAATGCATCAATGACAATGCATATCACATTGATTTATCATGTGAGTATAATGTGAGTTTCTGTTTAAAAGTTTCTGCTCTTTTTCCCTTTGATTTTTAAGATTCGAGGATGAATGCTATTAAGGAGTGGGAATGATACATGTACCAAGACTCATGATCACGATGGACTTACTTTCTTGCTTGGCCTAATCACAAGAGCAAAGTCACGACAACCCAAGGCTCAATTAAATATAACTATTAGAGGAGTTCAAAAATATCTGATCCGGTTGACCTGGCCTGTCAACCCACCGATCCGAACTTAAAATAATCGGGTAATTATATGCAAAAAATTATCCAACCGGGCCGAGTAGTTGGGTTGAGTTTGGGTCAATTTTTTTATAACAGGGTACCCGACCCATATATATATAGTTTGATTTATATTTATGTTTTATGTTTGTTAATATTTTTATCTTAAAATTAAATTTAAATCCCTAAATTTTTCTTAGGTTTGTATAATGTATTTTTAAGTTTAAAATTTTTTTAAAAAGCTTTTATTAATTTGTCAATACGAGACTTTAAAGAAAAAATACGATCAATTTTAATATTTTCTTTTGAAAATAAACTTTAATATATATATATATATATATATCCTTAAAACTAACTTAAAATCACTATTTTTTGTGTATGAATTTTATATTATGAACTTTTAAATTTTTATGTATTTCTATGTGATTTTCTTAAAAATAAATTAAATTTAAAAAGTAAAAAAAAATATATATGAATCAAGTACCCGTGACAAGAAAATACGGGTACCCAAATTTTACGGGTACTCGGACTCAATGAGCCAGGTTACGGGCTGCTAAATATACTACCTGAAAAACCATATACCTGATACTATAGGTACCCGAAAATGCGGATATCCGATTTTAAGCACCCCTAATAACTATACAAGACATTGTAAGCAAGGATATTCAAGTTTTATCAAAGAATCAAGAATTCCATCCACATAATCATATATTTCAAAAAGGAAGCCCAACAAGAATGAATCCCAACACATACCCATGTGTGACCAAAGAAAAATTCAAAATAGACTTGGAAAAACTCGACTAAAAAAATTGATTTTTTTTACTTTACTCGACTTGGAAAAACTTGACTCGAATTGAATTCGAGTTGTACATAAACTCAACTCAACTAAAAAAATTCAAAATTGAATCAAGTTATAAAATAGACTTTAATAACATGAATAGTAACTTGAAATTTTTAGTAATTAGCATATTGATTTTCAAGTTTGAGTCGAATTCCTCGACTCTGCATGATATATATATATCACATATGAACAAATATGAACAAATATATATGTATTATATATGAGTATGGAAACTCATTTAAAATGGAATCAAATAGTACCATAATATTATAAATATTTATAATTAAATATAAACAAAAACTCGAATAAATTGAATCTGGCACACCCCCAAAATTTTTTGTTTACAATATTTAATTAATTATCTGGATTTGAGGACCAAATTGCATAGTTTTGAAATATGAGGGTTGTTTCGTAAGTTTTCACCTAGTCTTGGAACTTAAGCCCGATTTTACCCATTAACTTTGGTCGTCGTAGAGAAGCCTTCGAAGGTTCTTTAGAACCAAAACGGTTTCTTTGGTTCTTTGATGTTTTGTCAATGTTCGATCGTCCTTAAATGACATGTCAGTATCTTTAGATTCAGAGAATCATTGCATGTCGACCAATGATCGTGGGGTCATCTTTGTTACCACCGTTAAAGGAAGTGAATTATGAAAAGTGTTGATCATCTTCAAAAGCATCCCTCTACCTTTCACTGTCGTAAAATAACACTTGCATGATATTATCTAGCCATCGATTTCAAAATTTGAAAATTTTGGCATCGATACAATGATTGGAAATGCCACACACATTGCCCTTATGCATGGGCATCGTCTGCTTTCCTTGGAGCTTTCTGGAAACCGGTCTGGATCTGTACAAATTTCCGAAACTAGTCTAGATCTCCTAAATTGAACTAATCCAAATCAAGTAGTGTCGAGCCCTGAGCTGAGCTGAGCCTTGAGCTAAGATGAGTCGTAAGTCACCCAACGAACTAAGTAGAGTCGTGATTCGAGAATTCGAGACGAGGCTCCAACTTGAGCCATTGATCGTTGACCTTCGTTGAGCGATCATTGATTTTTTGAGACCACATGTTCTGATTTTTTGACATCATGAGTCTGTTTTGTAAAATTTAAACTTGATAAGCTATTTTCAGCATTTTATCTTCCAATTCAATCTAATTTTCACATTTAAGCTTCGTTTCTAATGTAATTCTTTTTGTTATTTATCCAAGAATTTATGGGATGTCGAATCCAAATTCGAGAGAAATCAAATGGTGTTAAATGATCGACCGATGTAGCTTAAAAATCAAGCTAATACTTTACTACCCTATGCGTGCTTTCTGGTATATGTTGGTAATTGGTCAATGCATGAATGAATATGATTTGGACATGAGTTATGAATAATTATTTTAAAACTACTCTGATTATAGTATAATATTAGCAACTGATTAAGATTTGGATGACTTGTATAAGAAATTAGGTGATTGACATGAAATTATGTAACACCTTTTTACCGTGTCTGACACTGAACACGAGTCAGAGATGTCACATAACATTTGTAAAATATTTCTCTTTTGAAATTCAGTAAATTGTTTTTGGATAATAAAGCTTTTATTACCCAAAGAAGCAATGACTGCTACAAAAAACACCGATAAAAAAATACACACAATTACAAGAGAATGATCGGCTAATCAATACCCCAAGATATACAAAGATTGGAGTTTACATAATCAAGCCTATTTATCTTTTTCCCCCTTAGTTTAATTCCTACGAAATCTTTGACGTTGCTAAGTATTTCTTCTCTTTTTCTTGAGGTTCCTTTAAATATTCTTCGATTGCGTTCCTCCCACAAGACATAGATGCTTGCACACCAAGCAAGTTTAAGAATAGTAGTGATAAGAGATTTTCATTTCCATGTGTTGGAAGCCCAAGTTACCATATTCTCCCAAGAATCAATTTTCTTCTTTAATCTATTTAGGAGAAGAATTTTCTCCCTAAAAAAATAAGCATATGAGCAATCGAAGAACAAATGATTACGGTTTTCCATCATTTCATTACATAGGACACAAATTCCATTAGTAGAAATCCCCATACGAATGAGTCGGTCACGAGTAGGAAGTCGATCTAAAAGAGCCATCCATACAATCAAACTATGCTTGAGTAAATGGTGAGGGAACCATATAAGGGAGTGCCAAGGGACTTTTTCTTTTTTCATTCTAATCTCCTGCCAAATTTCTCTAATGGTGAAGGCTCCTTTCGAAATGGCAATAAAAGCTTCAATTCGAAGCTTGAGGATTCTGTTGATGCCCCAACATAGTGTAGCAGAATTTTCCATGCTCCAAAAATCATTCTCTTTAATAACATATGCATTAATCCAAGCTATCCATAGAGAACCCTCTCCTACTAAAATATTTTTCGTGAGCTTAATAAAGCAGGCTTTATTCCATGCTTTAAGGTCTTTCAAACCGAGACCTCCCTTTGATTTCAACTGGCAGATGTTATTCCGGCAGATACGCCGCCTGTAGCTGATGTATCAAAGCTTTTCCAGAAAAAATAGGAGCATAGCTATTCAATCTTGCAGATTACAGACTGAGGAAGCAGAAGTTGCCTTCTCCAATAATTAGCAATGCTGAACAATACAGCTCGAACGAGTTCTAGCCTGCCTGCGTAGCTCAAGAATTTTCCAGACCAAATTGTGAGTCTAGCTTTTATACTGTCAATGAGAGGTCCACAATCTTTTTCAGAAAGCTTTCTAGTAATTAAGGGAATCCCTAGGTATCTTACAGGCAAACAACCAAGCTGAAATCCAGTAGCTCTTTTAATATGATCAGTGTTCCTGTTAGAAATACCAGAAGTAAAGAATGTGCATTTTGTAGCATTGAGATTCAACCCAGACAGTTCATAAAAATGATCAAGAATTGTTAAAACTCCAACAACAGAGTCTATAGTTCCTTTGCAAAAAATTAATAGGTCATCCGCAAACGATAAGTGAGTGAGCCCTATTCTTTTACATTTAGGGTGATAAGCGAATAATCCTTTGGCAACAACCAAGTTAAGTAGATTTGAGAGGATATTCATGGATAAAACAAAAATGAAAGGTGATAGGGGATCACCCTGTCTAATGCCTCTAGACCCTTTAAAGTAACCAATCAGTGTGCCATTGAAAGAAATCGAGAATCTGGCTTCAGTAAAACATGCCTCAGTCCAAGTGATAAACTTTTGGGGAAGGTTGAGAGCTTTAAGAAAAGTAGAAATAAAATCCCAATGCAAAGTATCAAAAGCTTTTTGTAGATCGATCTTCAGAGAACATCTTGGAGAAATAGTTTTTCTTCCATAACCTTTAACCAATTCTTGGGAGGGTATTATCAACAATACTCCTTCCTTTAATGAAGGCAGTTTGATTGAGAGAGACAATTTCTGGAATGAGACTTGAAATTCTTTTGACTAGAATTTTTATGATAGACTTATAAATAACAGAACATTCAGTAAAATTTTGTTTCTTTAAAATTTATACAATTTAACAATAATCACCAAAACTAGTTAATCGTGTAAAATCAAAAAATAATATTTTTTTCATTCAAAGAAAATTTGATTTCAGCAGCAACTTGTCAGTTTAATATTGTTTCATATAAAACTGAAACTGCCTAGTTTAAAATCCATTTCAGATAAAAATAAATGTAATTTAATAAACTATTAAACACGTAAAATGTCATTTTCACTTAGTAATATCCGTTTTAAGTCTATTTATATATAATACTACATACCATTTCAAATCTATTTATATCAGAGCAACATATTATATAAAATATACATGCCATCTAACAATATCTAAACAACATCATGTGTAACACCCATATATCATATACGTACTCGAATATAAGTTAGAGATATTACATTAACCATTTGAACATTTCCTAGTCAAAAAACCATTCAAATTTTGTTTCGTTTAAAATTTCCAATTTAACGATTAAAACCAAATTAATAAATCGTAAAATCATAATGCAATATTTTAACTACCAATTCGAATTCGTTTTCATGCAACAATTTGGTAATCTAATACTATTTGATATCATAATTAAAACTGCCTAAAACTGCTTTATTTAAAATCTATTAAAACATGATCTAGTATAATATTATTCATCCATGTTACTAATTATATCTAAGACTATCCATACTAAAGCAGTACTAATTTAATATTACAAAACTAATTTATAACTAATATATCATAGAATTTAAAACACTTATAATATGCATGCCACTAAACAAGTTAAAATAACATCAAAAGATGTATTATTGATATTGTATGTCAATACGATTTCCCACGAAAGTGATGCTCGATATGCTCCTCACTCCGCAGCTTTATCATTTTCTTTACCTATGCGTGAAACAATCACATGCTAAGTAATACTTAGTGAAGAATTATAATTAAAGTAAAGCAAATTTAAAATATGAAAATGAAATAAGTAATCAAAACAATATAATTGTTTAAGCTCATAAAAACAACACAATAAAATCATTTCATTATCACATAACTTGTAAAACCAATGTATTATATATAATAAATAATCATTTCATTATAATTAGTGGCATGTTCTCTCATGTTCAAACCCATTCAACGATGCTTCGCTGAATGGGTTAGGGTACATATTGATGCAAGGAGGAACGGTGGTTGCTTATACAACTCAAACCTCATGAATGCAACTTCCTAACACATGAAAGAACTATATTTTTGGAGAGAAGTGTTATATCTTCACTGACCACAAAAGTCTCAAGTACTTGTTCACTCAAAAAGAGTTGAAATTATGATAACATCATTGGGTCAAGCTACTAAAGGACTACGACTGTGTTATATACTATCACCAGGATAAAAAAATATGGTGGCGAACGCCTTGAGTGGTAAGTAAATGTTGGATATATGAGCGATGTTTGCACGATTAAGTATGACCTCAGATGGCGGGTTGTTAGCTGAGTTACTATTCAAGCTAGAGTTTGTTAGGGTGGTAAAAGAACTATATGGGACCATTGGGTTTTGGATGTCTAGAGTAGAGTGAGTTCATCAGGACAAAGTACCCAACTTTGAACTAAGATCCTTGGTGACGCACATTATAATCTATTTATTGTTCATCCTATGAGTACCAAGATATATCAAGAGTTTTTATAGTTGTATTGATGGTCAATCATGAAGAGGAATGTAACATCCTAATCCAATTCACCTGAAGGTCATCAAATTTTGATGTTACATGGAACCACGTGAGTGGCTGACCATCTTTTTTAAAAATGTTTCATGAAGGTACCATCCATAAAATGTAATTACCAGACAAATACGAAATATAAGTGTTTAATACGGGGGAGTTCCCAACATAAGTCTCCAAAATATATCATTAACTTAAAATACAGAGTTGGAGCTCCCGACATAAGTCTCCAATATATATCATTAACTTAAAATACAGAGTTTATGACTCAAGTTATAGAGTCTATAACAGTACATGCCCTCTAAAACTCTTGAAACGTACCCTGAAGAAGTCCAGTATGGAATCCAAGTCTGGAAAATATCTACTCAACTGGCACCTACTAACCTATTCATGGAAACATATTCCATACGCTGAGCTCACAAGCTCAGTGCCACAAAAAATAACCAAGTTATACTACATGCATCCAATAAATAAGCATGATACAATATAGTCATGAGCAATACATAATTCCAGGAAATGATAAGTATCATAGTGTAGTTCGGGGTCACAAATCATTACGGAACTCACGCCACTCTTTACTTACAACACTTAAGGATGTGCATGAAGCATCGACACTTGCCTGGCTAACGTACTTCTCCAGAGTACTCAGGATGTGCATGGGTCACGTAGCATCGACACAACATCCAACTATCATTTTAAGTGCCCAAGCACTAGATTGGATATATCCGAATATCCGAATATTTTACACATGTAACGCTCATGTTGTTAAGTGACTCGAGTGTCCTAGTCGTTTCCTCGAGTATCAAACAATGCTAGTTTTATGTCACTTAATTTTGTAGCGTTATTAGTCGAGCTTGATCATTATCATTAGTTTTTAGATTTAGGGTTTAAGTAATTGGGTGAATTAATTAAAGGACCAAACTGAACTCATTCAAACATATTGAGTCCAAGATAACATTTTATAACACTTTAGACATTTATGGAATGCAATTCTACCATATTCCATCAGCAAAACAATAAAGGGATCGATCATTTATTTAAAAGGATTGATCATTTTCCCCGAGGGATCGAGCTCTTTGAAAAGGGATCGATCCTAGGCATAGAAAAAAGTTTGGGATCGATTCTTTTGGTTGAGGGATCGATCTTTTTCGATCCTGATCGAAAAAGATTGATCCTTTGCTGGATAGAAACTTTGAGATCAATCCCTTTGGTAGAGGGATCGATCCTTTTTCTGGGAATGACTTACTTAAGCTCGGAAAACACCCAAAAATTTATCCTAAGGCTAGCAAACATGCTTAACGTCTTATTTAGTGTATTAGAGGTCAAAAGATACTAATTTTAATGTTTGCAACACACAAATACGAATCTTTCCATTGAAATTACTCTAGCATGCTTCATGAACTAAACCATACTATTTATGCACATTTAATGGACTATATGTGGTATGGAAAAGTTAGAATCGTGTTACCTTGAGTCCAAGATACTGAAAAATGTCTAGAATCACCCAAGAGTTTGTTTTTCCTTGCCTCTAACCTTTGAGCTCTCTCTTTGCTCTTGAACTAATCAAAGCCATGAAAATTTGTTGTTAACTCATTTTAAACTTAAAGGAACACTAGAAATAATTCTTATAATCCAAAACCGGATTGAAACACATGGTTCTTTAAACCCCTCTAAAACTCATTTTTGCCTAAGACATTCAAACCTTACAAATGAGTGTTCAACTTGAAGATTAGGAAGTGTTGATTAAAATCTTACCTTGGAAATTCTGATTCAAGCTTGTAAAAATAAAAAGCTTAGACCTTTAACTTGCCTTGGAGAAGAGGAAGATGAGAGGAAGAAGATAACAAAAGGATGAAAAAGAGGAGCTTAGTGCAGACGTGATACCATCCAAAATAAATGGAATTCAACCTTTGTTTCAAAAATTAGGTTAATTACTTTCCTAATCCTCCTTCATCTGATGTATGATTAAAATCATCCCTTTTCAATCTTTTTAGGCTCATCCCAATCCCAAATCAAATCTACTTAGGTATAAAACTTTATATACTAAAGGAACATTATTCTAAACCCCATTCGTATAAACCCAAAACTCCTAACCCATATTTAGGAGTGTTACAAGGAAAGTTATTCTAAAGACCATTCACATAAACCCAAAACTCATATCCCATATTTCAAGGCGTTATAACTCTCCCCTCCTAAGAAAAAAATTTCATCCTCAAAATTTACCTGAGAAGAATAGATGTAGAAACTGGTGTCGCATGTCCTCTTCGGTCTCCCATTTAGCTTCTTCGACCCTATGGTTCCTCCATAGAACCTTCACCAAGGGAATCTGCTTGTTCATCAATTCTTTGACCTCTCGATCTAAGATCTATATTGGTTTTTCCTCATAAGTCATAGACTTGCCTCGATCTATTTCAAATAAATAACTTGGGATTGGTCTGAAGAATATCTTCTAAGAATTGAAACATGAAAAATGTTGTAGATATGCTCCACAGTAAAGTCAAACGGAAGGCTACAGGTATGAACCCATCGAGAATCTCATATGTTCCAGCAAAATACATAGCTAGTTTCCCTTTTCGGCCAAACTGTAGTACTCTTTTCCACAGTGATACTTTAAGAAAAACCTTGTCATCGACCTCAAAATCTATGTCCTTTCACTTCAAGTCTACATTCGATATTTTTTGATCGAAGGCCTCTTTCAGTCGTCCTTGAATCAGTCAAACCTTATCTTCTACCTCACAGATCAGATCAAGCCCAACTAGCTTTCTATCACTGAGTTCTATCTAACACAAGGGTTTCCATTATTTTCTTCTATACAAAGGCCTCATAAGGCGCCATTTGGATGCTTAAATGGTAGTTGTTGTTGTAGGCAAACTCAACCAACGGAAG